GAGTTATCCATTATATATCACAAAACAATTTTTAGTTTAATTAATAGAGTAATTCTACTGTTCTACACAAAATTTTATTAAAAAAATTTTGGATATTATAATAGGATTTACTAGAAAGCTATATAGACTTCAAAATTAATATATAAAAAATTAATTTCAAATTAAAACAACAATTTCATAACAAATTAAATCTTAATTATGGCGAAAGAATGGCCAATTATAAGGAAATAATAACTATATTTAATAAAAAAAAAAATATTCGTTAATAAATTTGTCAAAATATAGGACAAAAAAAATGAAGAAATGAATAAAGATCTATTTATTTTTAACAATAACATAACATATAAAATGTAAATAATACAATAAAGGATTTTGAGTGGTTAATCGAAAAAAACTATGAAAGTTATATAATAATATGTAAAATATCACAATAATGATAAAGATGATAGGGATAATAGGACAATTTACTCCCGATACATATAAAGTAAAATATAAAATTATAGATACAATTAAATAAAGAGCGGAATAAAAAATTTGTCAGTTATAATTATGTGATCGAAAGGAAGGTGGGAGGGGGGGGGAGGGAGAAGAGAGATCATCCAATTCAGGTTTCGTCATTAATCCGCTTTCATTAATCTGGATTTATCTCTTCGAATAGTAGCAGTACAGTGAATATTTCTTAGCTTGGAAGATAGTTTAATGCGCTGCGGACTTTGATGCACTTTCCCTAGCTTAGAACAACCAATATGCACGGGATTTCCTTGACTCGACTCTATTTGACGTTCTCTTAAGGATTTCTCTCAATAGTTTTATTTGTCAGTTCCGTTATGTAGCCACTATGTAGGAAGATGTTTTCCCTTTATGTTTGAGCCTTATGTTTTTGAATCTTGTCTTGCCTAATGATTTACTTATCCTTACCTTCATATTCCTTATTCTTTCCCTTTCTTTCTCTTTCTCTTCATCTCCCGATATTTAGCTCTGATATTCAATTGTCATTACATTTCTGATTTTTGATATAATTTCTTGTCAGTATCATTTTATTTATTAAAATATTATAAATTATCAAAGAGTTAAAATTGTACCTTTGCTATTTTATGTAATCATATGTAATATATTAATGTTAAATACTTTTAATTTTGTTTTTTAATTTTGTTGCTTTGCATACACAATTGTTGTTTTGCATACACAAAATATTGAAGCTTTTAACTCACCCTCCTACATACAGATTTTAATAAAAATTCTATGTACAAATATTTTATAATTTATAATTTTATAATTTTACTTTCAATAATAAATTTGTTGATAAACATGGAATTTATTTTTCCTGAGTAGAAATATTGAAATATCAATAGTTTTTAATTATAAACAATTAAAAAAAGAGTTGAATTTCTCAGAAAATTCATCAGAAAAATTCATTATCAGGTATGTCAGGAAATATATCATTAAATCGCGAATTGTGGGATAATTTGTATATATAATTAAAAAATTTAATAGATAAATCAAATAAACTTTACATTTACATGTAAAAAAGTTGAATTGCTAAGTAATCAATTTCTAAACGGATACATTTTGATAGTAGTATATAAAAAATAGTATAATTTTCTGCGTGAGCCACATCGTTGGTATCCAACACTTAAAGTCGTGCGTTTTGAAGCGATACAACGGTCTTAGATCATTACACGTTAATTACGTACTTCGAAGGTCTGTAATTTACAGAGGAAAGCAGTCGCTTTATGGCACGTATCGTTTAATCTCGCGAGGCTTTTGATTCACAAACGTTAACCGCTAACGATTGTCTATTCTGAATGTGCGCTGCTTGCTATTGCCTTGTAAAGTTGCGTATACATTTCCACGTACTTTTGGTGAGATATCTATTCAATTTGAAAAATTTATATTTATTTATAGATCATACGCGCGCGCGCGCGCGCGCGTGTGTGTGTGTGTGTGTGTGTGTGTGTGTGTGTAATAAGAAACTTGACTTATATACAACTATATAAGTCCTGGCTTATAAAAGCAAATTAGTAATTAAGATTAGATTACGTTAAATCGAGGTGGTTCTTATTTTGATACGAAGAATTTAATGGAAGTTTGACTCTTTTGGAAGCAGATTTTTATTAGATTTAAAAATTAATGATTAACTTTTAATAATGTCGATATTAACGATTTAAAAAGATACTAAAATTTGACATTTTAATTTAATTTTGATTATTGATTCATTGATTCATTTTGAAATATCATTCTACTTGAGTGATATTACGGTTTTCAGTATAATATTCAGTATATTATAAGCTTGAATATGCAAAATTTATGTATGTCATTTTCCTATTCAATTACAGATTAAATCTGTGCATCGCGGATTAACAAGAATTGGCATTCGTGGAAACTAGCTAAGTGGTTATCCACTTTTTAACTATTTTCTCGAAGACGATTTAATCGTGGCTATTAAATGAAATTATGGATATATGTCATCCTGTCGTTTAGTTCTTCGTTTTGATTTATCGACAAATAGCACGCGGTCATCGATAAATCGTTACTGCCAGCGGAACGAAGGTGGAACGCAATCGTGCGGGGGGGGGGGGGGGCGGGGGTCTCAGATGGCGATTTTACTTTATATGGCAAGACTAGACGCGAAATACATTTTACAATACGTGTATTCTAAGAGATTGGTTTCCGCGGTTTCCCCGAGAGATCGGGAGTCGCGGAAGCCCCGAGAGAGGTGTCCCGCGTGGATGTGTTCCTCGCGACGCAAACTGCGTTCCCGCGGAATAATTCAGCGGCCCGCGAGCGGCTCCTTCCCGATATACGCATGCCGCTACTAGCGGCTTAATTCCAGAGAGCGTAGAGAATGTCGACGGTGTAGAATCCAAGAGAGAGCTTCTTACTGCGATCGAAAAGATCGGAGCGTTGAGCAATCGCCCGGTGGACGTGCCGAAGGTTTCTGCCTTCGCGCAAAGGCCATCGAGAGTATGCCTCCGCTCCTTCTTCGCGGTTCACCTTCTCCTCCCTGGTTCACCTTCTCCTACTCCACGGAATCTGCAGGTCGCAGGTGTTCGAGCCGGCTATCGGCATCGCTTGGCCGCCGTGCCGGTTTCAGTCACCGCCTGGTCGTTGCCAGGTTCAGCGGCTTTCTCTGTACCGATTCTTTTTTTTTTTTTTTTTATTTATTTATTATCGTGGCGTGTCTACGCGTGAGAAATCTCCGCCTGGTCCCGGCTCCAGATTTATCGATTCTTATCGGCGGTTAGCGACGGTCAATAATTCCTCGATTATACGTCTTTGATAAGATTATAGATAGTATCGCACTGATATAATCCGATTTTGTAGTAGTACTACAGTATGCGTTTGACTTCAAGAATATTCTAAGAGAGATAAAAAAAGCGTCAACGTGATATCTCTTATTGGTGAGGTGATGCAGATGGCACACTTAGTAGTTTAACTCAATAACTTTGTAATTCAATAATTTGTGCATCTTTGTGTTTATTTCTTAAGTGCAGCAGTTCAGCTAAAAGCGGTAAGTTTTACACCATGCGTAACTCACGTTATAACCTCAACTCAAATCTTTCGCTCTCAAATATTCATCAAAAAGACAAACATTTTTATATCGTAAGATTTACAAATTTTTATATTATCCTATACTATTTATTATAAAAATTTCCTATATAGTTAAAAAAAGTTAAAATGTAAGAATAATGTAAGAATAATTAACTAATAAAAATTAATTATTTTGTCAAATTTATAAGTCTCAATCAAACACGTAACGCAAGGAAATAATGGATATAATCACGCAGCTATTTAACAAGTAAAATTGCCGTTATCTTTACCGCTATTAGAATGTGTAATATGTAGCCTTATCCATGTGAAGCTACTTTCACCGGTATGTATCATGTTATTGCGCGACTAATGATGACTATTTCTTTATTATTATTGTTGTAATTTCGTTGTATAACTTGTATAATTTAATTTTATCGTGACAACTTGACTTTGGCTCGGTCAACCACCTTAAATGTACTTGCAAATTATCGTTATATTGGCCAAGTACACGAAACTCGAAGCGTGTTGGGCGAATCACGCGACAAAGAAACACGCTTTGAATCAATTTTTATTACCTTGAGTAAATCTCGGTTCACACTTTCAATCAGAAAGCAGATGAAAAGAGTACTCTTGTGATTCATCACGAATGGCATTCGGCACGCATGCAACGAATCTTAATTTTATCGGTTTAATAACGGTGTGTAATTTATTTAAAATTCAACATAACCGAATTATCAAAACATTTTGTAAACTCGTCGCTTCAGCAATATTGATAATGGATGCGGAAAGTTGAGCTGAGTTCAAATTTCAGTAGAATGTAAATTACAGTAGAACATATCTCCGATAACAAGCATGACAATGAGTGATTAAACTCATTATGGGGAACAATTCGAAACACAAATTATATTATATAACATATCGCAAAAATAACTAACGCGCCATTATTGTTGAATATCTATTCAAGCTGTATGTACGATCGACAGTTATAATTCATAATTATAATTCTATTTACAGAAATCTAATGAAATACATTACGAAGTTACATCTTAATTTGGCAATCTCTTAAATTAATATCAGTAATTAATTTCAGTTTTGAAAATATTTGATTGCATTGATTACTTTCTAAGAATAAAATTTTTTTGCTTCACAATCTTATCTAAATTCTCGAAACGAAACAATGAATTTATTACAAGTGAGATAATAACTAACGTGCAAGTTAAACGTGCGTGTTAATTAAATTCCAATATCGAAATAATCGCCGATAGATTTCTCGGCGGCTTCTTTCTCCTTATCACGCTTCAACATTTCATAAAGAAGTTGGCGAGCGGAGAATCAGCTCCAGCAAAGCCGAGGAATCCAAACGGTCTTTTACGTCTTGCCCTTTCTATCGCTACGTGGTTGCTTCCGGTAACGGCGCAACAGACCACGAAGAAATTGCGCGATGCGAAACGTTCGAAGGAAGGAAGAGAAGGCGGAAGAATATCTCACTAGCCAAGGACTAGCAGTCAGTCGCAATGCTCGCAATGTCGATCGCTACGTTAAACTACGTTACGCCTTTTAAGCTGCGCTATTAACAACGAGCGCGTTTTGAAGTTTTGAAGAAGCTTGATACGCTTTTATCTTTTCCGCTTATTTGCTGCAACGTTTTTTCCCCCCTCCCCCTCATTTTCCCCACAAATTTCTTATTTAATAGGGAAAACTATTGTTCGAGCATCGATATGTCAAGTTTAACAGCTAATAAATCAGACATATCAAAGTTGTTAGAAATATGTAAAGGATATTGCCACATAGCCCATCTTGTTATATAAGAAAACATTATTATTTCTGTGTCTGTGTGCAACTCAACTTCTAAATGTAAGAATATATTATAGAAAATTTTGAAAGAGGAGTGATGTATGTACGTATGCGTATGTTGTGAGACACTGATGAAGTCAATGATGAATAAAACCATTGGCTGCAACGAATGTTTATATCTTTTTCCAACGGTATTACTATTTTTTTTTTTTTTTTTCTTTGAAAAATATGACTGTGCTGTAGAGTTAAAATATATTCGCACGCGCAATGGTGGTCATTCACTCAATTCGCGAGCGGTCATTCACATACCTTATCCCGTTCGTCAAATTCCGCTCGTCGTTGTTCGGCAATCTGTGACGATCTGTAACGAATCCACTCGGATGGAATTTAAATTGAAACGCCGCCATTGGTATCGCGATAAACTCGAGAAGCGAACTATGCACACGTAGAGAGATTCTTCTGCGCACCTTTATTCGCACCAGCGTCAAAGTATGCAGCGAGCTATGTGCAACGTGCATCGACTAAAATCAATCAGAATCTGTCGACGATACGCGCGAAACCGACCGATATATATATATATATATATATATATATATATATATATATATATATATCTATA